AAACTAAATGGTATTAATTGAGCTTAGGAAAAGCTGAAGATACTCTGAAGACAGGAACTGCTTGTGTGTTAAAAGAACAAATTGAAATTTATCTATTACCTCTTTAAGCAGGGACAGTGCTGAGTTTTCAAACGTAGCTGGATTTTTCCCTTGAAATTATTTCCTTAGTCCAAGCTGGCAGAATGCTACAAGCCTTATTCTGCAGCCATTTTATCTTACTTGCTCTTGCAACAAGTCCAAAATCTTCAGAGTAGTTTCTCTATCCATGACAAGCTGTTGTAAATTTTACTTTTAGATTATGCATGTGTATTTAGTTTATCTACATGCATATAGTTTATATGGACTATTTCTGTAGGCAAGGTTATCTAGTAATTGGTTTTATTATTACCTGTGTCACTTTTCTTGGCTGAACTAAATTTCATGAAAAATGTATTGTATGTCCAGTATTAATTTATTACTTTTAAATTTCTTTATTCTTGAATCAGGTAATCAGACTTAATAGACTATATAAGCACCTTCAAACAACACCCTTCCCCTTCCACTCTTGTAAGAGTTTTATAGTATTCCTGTGTGCTCGTCTCCTTGTATTAATAGTTCCGTGCTATAGGCTTTTACTTAGTTCACGTAAGTGTTAGGTACTGTACCTAATTTATATTACATGAATATAAATAGCAGCATGCTAGTATCTAAAACTAGGAGCTCCCTTGTTTATGTGGAATTGACTCCTATTACTGCCACTGGATTATGTGACCTTGTTTAATCTAGAAAGGGCCCTCTTCTCCTCTGTTTCAATGATTTGGGAATGTCCAGGGATGATGATTACATTGTGATCTGGTCGTGTGTGTGGATTTGTCCTATTCCTGCCACTGGATTATGTGACCTTGTTTAATCTAGAAAGGGCCCTCTTCTCCTCTGTATTTGGGAATGTCCAGGGATGATGATTACAGATTACACTGGTCGTGTGTCATCCCCCCCCCCCCCCCAACGCTACGGGCGGACGTTGGGCATATGATTCCTTTTAAATATAAAAGCTGGTTAAATTTAGGCAAACTAGACTAAAAAAAAATTACAAGAACCGGAGTACAATAGCAACAGTGTATTAAAAAAAAAAGCAAATTTTTTTTTTTTGCAAGTGTCTTTTCAGTGTTGCCAACATTAGGCATTAAAAAAAACAGGATTTTTTTTTTTTGGCTTTTCATGATTTATTTTTTTTAAAGACAACTTCTAGATAGTTTTTTAAAAGCTTTTTTGTGTGTTTATTTAAATTGTGGGCATCTTTCAAAAAATGTGTGCAAAATGTTTTTTTTTTTTAATAGGAGGTCCACGCATGGCATATGACTCAAGGAGGTGGGACTTCAAAAGAAACACCAAATTTGGACCCAAGAGCACAACCAAGGCCTGGCAGCCATGTGCTTACAACAGTAGTATTCAGCTCTGAGGTGCTGAGATACATCTCATTGCCTGGCTTACGTGATGAACATGTGTTTTTAATTTACAAAACAGTTCATCTGAATGTAGGGGGTATACCTATGACCTTTTTGAAAGTTAATTTTTGTTTTTAGAAGTGATCAAAAGTGCTCAGTATAACATCAGTTCAGCCTTTATAATTGCTACTGAAAAGGTTTAAAAAAAAATCTGGTTTCAACAGCCTGGCAGTACTAAAACCAATGAGAAACCTGCATTTATTTCAGTGGTCTTTGGCTCTGGCTTGCAGAACCACCTGAGATGCTAATTAGAAGTTTTGCAGGAGGTTTGAGGTTGGGCTGAAGCAGTCTTTGCTGTTAAACTCGGATTACTTCTCTTGCCGCATGGCAGCATCTCTGTACAGTGACACCTTACAGGGCTGCAGAGATTTGAGCTACTGCCCTTCAGGTGTTGGAAAGATGCATGTGACAAGTTATCAGATCTGGTAATTTAAACTAGGTCAATGTGTAGTTGCCCATGTGGTGGTTTCAGCTTCATTACCAGTTTACAGTAACTTGGCAAATTATTTTGTCCCTATTATTATTTTATTTTAAAAGCACTTTCTTTTAAATCCCATTTGCTAGGAAAGTCATATGCCAGCCACAGTTTTCACTGTTTCTGCGCACTGCAATGAATAAGAACAGCACACTTTGTGTAATTGAGAGACAAATAAAATGCGACATTTTAGTTGGAGGGGGTATGTGTAGAAGAATCACATACTGTTTTTCTTTATATATAAAAATGTGAATGCCCCATCTATCTGAACATTTTGGATTCCATGGTACTGGGCACCACAGAAGGAACAAGAGAAAATGAGACTGTCTGTAAAGGTAAACCTTTACAGGTGCAAGCACCTTCTGCTGCCATTACCTTCTGTTTGGAAGAAGGCTATAGCTGAGTCAGATTATCTGGAATTACGCCATTTTAACTTTGGACATATTCTAGATCTTTTGTCTTCTGTTCTTCCCAACTAAATACCCTGAGTCCTCCTTCTGCCTGATTTTCATTTGTCTCCTTGATTGAGGTTTTTTTAATTCCTGGCTACATAGTGCTCAGTTTCAAGAGGAGACTGAAGAGTGGGAGCGTGGTAGTCTCCAGCATGCTGCATGGTGTAGTCCTCGGGTTCTGCTGCTGTGGAGAAGGGCGGGATTCTGATTTCCTTCTGGCTGAAAGCTATAAACACTGGACTGTAGAGCCAAAGCAGGGCAGCACTACAAACATAGCCGTGGGATTGGATAAAACTAGTCAGCACTTGTCTAATCTTCTCCACTTCCCCAGGAGAGTTGCATAGATTGGGTGCATTGCTGTCAAAGCTATCAGCAGCACACTAGGGACATGGATACCCATTTCCCTAGAAGGGGCAATTCAGGGCTATATGAACAAGTGAAGCTCACAGACACTTTTGAGCTGGATACGGAAACCTTAATGTATGTAAGCACCTGCTGGGTTAGTCAGTCCTGGAGAGCCGGCAGGCGGGATTTTTCTTTGGGAGTTCTGTGCATAAAACCTAAGTCTCATTATAGGCAGATTCAGTCTCACCCTGTGTCACTACTGTAATAGTTAATCCATCAGGAAGCATGACCTTTCATTTTATTTTCACTGGGGTTTTAATTATCAAAGCTTTGAGGAGCAAGTTGCGAGGATAGAGTAGTTTTATAGTTGATTATATGTGAAACTTAAGCAGATCTGATGGATCAAGGAAAAGAAACTCTGTTACATATCTCTTATTTGAAGGGAGTGGCTGAAGTTAATGTTTTCTTTCTTTTGAATGGCACATATGAATTGTTCCTAAGCAGTTATGCCACAGTGTAAGCTTACATTGAACTTTCTATTCCATTTTCTAACAACCTTCAGGTTATTCTGAAGTAAATGTATTTGCAGTAACAAAAGGGGCTATGTGCAGAAATACAAGGCTGATTGTAAAGAAATTTTTTAATTTTCTAAATGAAAATGTTTTTGAAGCATAAATTGTGTGATAAAAATAACCATTTTTGCTATGTGCTGAAGTTCAAATAATCCAGAAGGTTGGAGCCAAGAGTCCCATTCAAAACTCTGTTCTCTGGATGTCAGCTCAATCACTGACTGCGTCTCGCTAGGCAAGGCTCAGCGTTCTTTTTCTATCCATGCAAAATTGTAGTGGTTTGAGTTGTGTCCTCTTTTTGCAGTATTCCTGAATCATAAACAAGAGCAGATTTAAATAAAAGCAAGATTCTAAGAGAAATGAATGTCAACCACCAAAAACACTTGGACCACAAAAAGAATGTATCTGGAAAGAACTTTTTCCCCCCAGAATATTTTAGTGAAAGGCAGTAAAAAACCAAAGATGTTAAATAAACGGATCCCAAAGGTTCTCTATGTAGTTTTGAAAGGGATATATAGTGCCTGGAAAGGTTGTGAAATCATGTTTACTAACAAATATTCTAAAGCATAAGTTCTAGGGAGATAATAGGCATAATAACAATAGGTAACCTATAACTTGCAACAGTGTTCTTTACCAGTTGAATATCTTGTAAATCTGTCCTTGTGATGAACAGCAGCACTTACTCAGACTAAAAATAATAGCAGGACCGTGTGTCTTGGATCCCAGGAGACTATTGGTGTTTTTGTAGACAGCAGACAGGAGAAAAAGGCATTTTGTCCTTTTTACCCCAAGTAATCCCACTGGAAAATTAAACATGTGCTATGAATTGATATCAACTCATGCCAGGTTACCTCCCTAAAGAGGGCTGCTGCGAACACTGTTGCTACATTTCTTGGACAGCAGTTTGATGGCCTGTGTGCATGATGGATATTTTATGCTGTATGCTACTGTGGAACAGTGTGCTACTGTCTGCCCCTCGGAGACTGCTGGTGAGGTGTGCCACAAATAACCGGGAACAGCAATTGCTTTAACCCTACAGAGAATCTCAAATACCTGCAAATTAAAAATGTTACTGAAATATTTCTGTGTGCGTCTGGGAAAACTGCGTTGGTTTTGTTTTTTAAGGTTTAATTCTGCAAAACAGAGCAGTTCCTTTTGTCTTGCTGTAGATTCCTACTGAACACAGGATAAAAAAAAATATTAAGCAATATATTAGCAAGAAATACTTAGAGAAACCACGAACCCTTTTTTAATGGACCACCCTATCCAGTTTCTGTTCTTTTAAGGAAGTTTTTCCTATTCATGACTCATTTCACTCTTTGGCTAACATCAAGAGAAATGGAATAACGATTAAGCAAAGGAATGTATGTTTTTTTTCTGGTTTTGTCCTTTTTTCAAAACCTTTATGAATTTTCTGCATAACCTTGTGTAAATATATATGGATGTAGAAGCTTGACAACTGTGACAAGGTAAAAAGTACACTGCTAATACTTGCTTCTTAGTAATTTTTTTGAAATGTTTCTTTTGGTTCTACACGTTAATATTATGCTGGATACTCCAGACTCCCTATTCAGTTAAAATGACATGCTTCAGCCAGCCAATTACACAGAACTGTTAAGTGAAATTAATGAGATCAACCCCAGATTACACTTTGTGTTTTATTTTCATTTTATAGGTCTGTACGAGCTGCTGGCTGCATTGCCAGCCCCGCTGCAGCCACATGTGGACAGCCAGGAAGACCTGACCTTCCTCTGGGATATGTTTGGTGAAAAAAGCCTTCATTCACTGGTGAAGGTAAACCACGTTTAAGTCGGATTCTCTTTGAGAAGAGCATATGGAAAAGTGTTTTGAGCGCCATCTAGTAAACCAGTGATCAAACTGTTGCTCAGTAAAAACAAAACAGCCTTGTTTTAACTCTGTTTCTGTCAGGGCAGGAAGACCTGACCTTCCTCTGGGATATGTTTGGTGAAAAAAGCCTTCATTCACTGGTGAAGGTAAACCACGTTTAAGTCGGATTCTCTTTGAGAAGAGCATATGGAAAAGTGTTTTGAGCGCCATCTAGTAAACCAGTGATCAAACTGTTGCTCAGTAAAAACAAAACAGCCTTGTTTTAACTCTGTTTCTGTCAGGGGTGGAAGTTGTTAAATAAGATTCTACCAAAAATACATAGATGATTTCATTTAAGAGTGATGTTTTGGCAGTGTAATGTTAATGCAGCAAACATATGTTGTTTGCCCTTGTTTAGAAAAAAAGAGTACGAAATAGTAGCAGGAAATCTGAGACTTCTTTATGGTCAACATTCAAGACCTGGAGTTTAGCTTAAATAAATAAATGTTCACAGCAAAAATTAGAAGGAATATATTTTCTGAGGTCAAGTATGGCAACAGTTCAGTAGCCACATTAATTTAAAATAATTTCCTTTAACAAAGTCAACTGAAATTCTAGTAAGCTGTTTCTTTTATTGGCTTGCCTCCATTTAAAATTGTGTTTTGCACATAAATATGTTGGACTAAAGTATGACCTAAAATGAGTTTGGAAGAATACTTGAGTAAAGTGTCCTGCTCTGAAAATGATCAGCAACAAGAAATCAAAGCATGCCATGGGAGTATGCAGAGCTACCCTGATAATGTTAAAATTGCTTATAGCAGAAAAATGGGACCAATCAGCTGGTTAGAAATGTTCCACTCCTACAAAATGGTAAGTATGTCTTTAGTCTCCAGTACAGAGCTAATTCAAGCTGGAAGGAAATGCTGAGGTCTCAAATGAATCAGTAGGTGGTAGTAACCCATGCCATGAATATTTCCAGACTTACACATAATTAAGCAGAATTTGTTATCCTTGTCAGTCATTGATCTAGAAGAAGCTTAAAATTGGGATTATTTCAACGTAGGTTTTAAGAGTCACCTTTTTTCACTTCTTTCAGCTATCTTATTCCAGAAGAAGATGTAATAATGTTGATACTTGACCAAAATTATTTTCAAATTGGCTGAGAATTTACATGTAAAATAAACACAAGTACTCTCTGGTAGTTGATACACAAAAGCAACAAACAGAGGAACAGTGCTTGGCAATACTCGCTTGCCTAAAGAATTTCATCAGTTTCTGAAATGCAGTGGTTTCCAGACTCCGTACTGCTTTGCTGCAGCTGTCTGTTCAGATGGCTAAGATGATCACTGAAAGGGGATCACTGGTTTTGTTTCTAATATAGGCTGACAGTGGTGTGCATCTAAGCAAAATGTTAGGTCAGTAGCTAAATCAGTTTTCTTTCTGGATTGGGAATTAAAGAAGGCTGGCTTGAAAATGAGTGGTGATCTGCAAAACATTGAAATTTCAACATTTGCTCTAATTTTCTATTGAGGAAAAACCTAAACCTTTTCAAACTTGTTCCGTTTTGCCCCTTCCCCCAAAAGAAGACAAAGATAGCACGACAGCAACTAGTTTACTCACCTTGAGTATACGCTCAGTTTGGAAAAGTTGGCTCTCCTAGTTGCATGCCCTAGTTACCATGTGGTTTGTTATTGCAGAGTGGATTGGTCTTTCTGATTTTAACAAAGAAGAATTCATGAGAGAGCTTTCTTGAGGCAGATAGAAAGTTTTGGGGATCAGTGAATGGTCACTATTGCAGTTACAACAAGAAGGCTTTGAAGTATTCCAACCATCTTTATTATTTATCTTGTCGGGTTTAGGTCCAACTATTAAATGTACGTGTAACTCTGACCCTGTGAACGGTTCTTTTAATGTCCTATTAAATCTCACACTATCTTAAAATAGACTTAATTTTTGAAACTGCATCTTTAGTGTTCACTAGTTGCACTTCTTTAATACGCCATGCTAATTTCATTCAAAAGACAAAGTTTTTTAATTATAAGAACTGAGACTATTAAGAGCATCTGGTCTGACCCAGAGCGTATCACAGGCTATTGAACCTCACCTTTTGCTTTCTGTGGTGTTCAGTTACAGAAAGTAGGGCATGAAGAGCTTTCAAAAGGTTATCTAGTTCGTATCCCTGCCCCAAGATGGGCTTAACTGTATCTGAAACTCATAGTATTTGTTTGACCTTTAACACATTTGTGTTAGAAGGGTTATTCAGTATCGTAGCAAGTTTTAGAGAAGGCAGTCATAGCCTTTTTGGAAGAGAGCTGTAAGAGCAGAAGAACCCCATCTGCCATAGTTTTTCCCAGTTACAGGGCTTCAGAAGTGCCAAATCTTTCTTTCTGGGTTCTGGTGTCTTATTTGAAAGACACCTTTTCCTAGTAGTAACTTCTTAAAGTTAACTGTACTTGCAAATACAAATGTTTTTAATTCCTCAGGCAGAGAATGATGACAGATATTTTGTAATTAAAAAAAAAAAAAGCACTAGCTTAGAGCCAAGGATGTTGCGATTCTGGTATGATTTGGTTTTGGAAGAAAATGAGCATGGGTATGCTACTAATTAGGCACTAACATTTCTCTATTTCAGATAGAAACACTGCTTAATAAAAATTTCTACGCTGATCTTCTTACCTTACTGTTTAATAATTTCAAATATTAGAAATGAGATTTTTTGCTAAGTTATAAAGTGGATAAAATGCTCCAAATTACTTAAAAGGTTTAAGTATAAAATGAACTTTCTACTTTTTCTACAGATATTCTAAGTTTCATGGGTATTTAATTATCGTAGTGTTTTCTGTATGGTTGTATACTATGGCATATGGTTTGCTATTCTGGCTCTCTTAATATTGAAAAGAAAGAAAAAAGAAAAAAAAAAAGCCCCAAACGTTGTCTTGGAGTTCTCTTCATTCAGTATTGTTGGACAGAAATCTCTTTGTGAACTTGGATCAGCCTGAGTTGTTCTAAGAAGTCAGAAATGGAAAAGTTGTATTAGATCATCCAGTCCATTCCCCTGCAAATACTGGATTGTTCCCTACAGTACATTCCTATTGTAGTAAGTAAAACCAGCAAAAACTGATGCAACTGTTCTTGCTGTCCTTTTTCTCAATAAAGGAATCTGTTGATTAGATTTTAGTTTGCAAAGGATAGAGAAGAGGGAACCCACAACCATTGTTGACAGTTTGGAAGAGAACACTGGCTCTGAATAGTGAATGTTTAAAATTTGTCTCTGCTTCCCTCAATTTGTTACTTCCTTGTCTTATTACATGACTCTCAAGTTCTACCGAAAATCTTCAGCCATCTCATTACTACTTATATAGCAGAGATCCCAATAATTCTGTGGAGATTTATAGAAAAGAAACATGAAGGGATGATCCTTCAGGGTAATTATGAGCACTAATATAGCTGAAACCTGAAATAGTACACGTGTGCTCTGCTTGGATTTTTTTTTTAGAGGAACAGAAGGGATAAATAAAGATCTGTTCTAACTACTCTTTTAGCTTATTTTTAGAGGAGCTGCAAGAATTTCCATGTGTGTTTGCTTGCTGTTAGCACACCAGACATGTTTTGCTGTTTGTCTGTTTAGCTCCAAGATGAAGCTTCTACTTGCACTGTTGCCTTAAACATTTCTGGTTGTGGATGTAATGCTCAAGAATTGAGTAAGCTTATCTGTTGGGCTGCTACTGAAGTATTTCTTAACCAATTGCATTTTACTGATTGGTTTTGGCCAGCTCAGGGCATGCACAGTTCTTTAGCCAGTACTGTACTTCGCATTATGAAAAAGAAGCCACAGCAAGCGCTGTTGCTGTTCCCTTGATAGGGAAGAGTTTGTACATCCAAAAAACAGTATGTGGCAGTGGAAAAGCAAATAACTACTGCAAAAGGAAGGAATATTTTGTGAATCTAGTCTGATTTTTTTTTTATAACTGCATAGTATTTTGGTAGCTGACCCTGCAAGACCTTAATTTGTGCTAATTTTCTGTTAGTTTCACCTGGATATGACTTAGCTTGAAGTTCTGAGAAATTATTTTGTATGTGCTAATGTTGGCCCATGTTGATGGCTAACAGCTTTTTCTAAGTAATCTAATCTCTAAAATAGCTGAGTGTATCCTGGTGTAATTTCTTTGGCATGTAAATTGAATCACATGGTTACGTAGCCCAAATTTTACAATCATTGTGGTGTACTGGAAATTTTCAGTGTGAAGACTCCGATTTGTCAATATGTAAATGTAGATTCTTTCAGCCTACTGTGGTTCCTTTGTTGGTAATAGAAAAATAAAGATAGCGTTTAAAAAAAATGAGCTGACTATGGCAAAGCAAAAGGGATTGATTTGACACATGCTTACAGTGATAAAATCAATGATCTGCAGATGGATGTGCTAAATCTTCAGTCTGGACTGGTACAAGCCTAGTTCATAGGCAAGTTTATATACGCTCTTTTAGTTTTTACCCAGAGCTTTACACACAAACTCCATGAAAAAAGCTGTTAATCTGTAGGATGAACAACTTTGCATCTACAGTACAGAATCAGAGAATCTCAATAAGGTTTCATGGCTTGTTTTATGTTAGAGGATAGACTAACTCGTAACTGTCCAACCTTTCACCTGGGAAGAGCTCTGCACGTTCTTTTGGCACTCGTGGAGGGGTCGTATGGTGCAGCTTCCCCTGCCCTGTGATGTGTCAGACATTCTGCAGCCAACATCCACATGCATGCTGCACAGATCGTGTGCGTTCACCTCCCGTGTTGTGCATCTGAATGGTGAATGCTCTTGCCTGGGCACGTGCTCAAGCATCCCCACATTTGGATCTTCTTCCCGAAAGAACGTAGAGGAAACGGACTTCAGATTATGAGTTGTTCTGATGAGTTGTGTGTGACAACTAATTGTTCTGAACTCATTGTTCTGTTTGATGGGGATGACCCATAG